GGAGAAAGCGGGATAAGCTCAGCGGGCGGCCTCGGGTGGAAAACTGGCCAGCCCTGGATGGCATCCCCGGGATGCAGAACCCTCCGGGGGTCGTGGGAATGTGTGCAGCCCCAGTCGGGAGCCAGGTCGGAAGAGCCCTGCTGGGTCGGCCAGAGGCTCGGCTTCTATATCATAGAGCGGAGAGTTGGAGGCGTCTGGGGAGCGCACAGACCCACCCCGTTTTGCTTCCCAGCCACCAGTATTTAAGGCAGCGTTTCTCAACCTTGGCAACTTTAAGACGAGTGGACTTCAACTCCCAGAATTCCTCAGCCAGCCGTGCTGGCTGAGGAATTCTGGGAGTTGAAGTCCACACGAAGTTGCAAGGTTGAGAAACACTGATTCAAGATGTGCGAGATAGGATCCAGGGGGTAGTAAACATTATTTTGTAGTTTGTACAAACCTTATTTGTAGCCACATCCTCCATAAACCCATCCAGTTTGCTTTTTAAAGTGGCCAAACTGGCAGCACATTTCATAGTTTAAGTGTGCCCTTGTCATACAGGGTGGAAATGGGGGTGCCCCCTTAGCTCCCCTCTCCAACTTTGGGCCGCCTATTTGTTGGGATGGTCACAAGATCTGATAAAGCCAACAAGTACATCCAGGGATCAAAGCATTTTTAAAAAAATTTTAAAGTACATTTATTAAATTTAAAATTTACATACTGTGACTTTGTCATGATGTCTGATACAGACCGTTACAAGCGTGCTTCTCTCTTGTGTAAACAATAAAAACTTTCCAGGCCTCCTAAAATGATGATCTGCTAGTTTGCAATGACAAGCAGTAGATATTTTCAGAAATTCTCCAGTCTATGGAGCGTGTCTTACCATACCATCGTTCCACTGAGATATCTAGATATTCCCATATTTTATAGCAATAATTAATCAGGTTGCTATAAGTAGAAGTGCTACATTTTCTTTTACTTTGCAATGTTTTGTTCTGACCGTCAAATATATGTGGTCAACCTAATTGGAGAAAACTCAGTCTTCAGCTTCATGATACAGGTAGCCCCCAGTTTAAGAACGACTTCCGTTTCCAAGATCTGTCCTTAAGTTGAATTTGTATGTAAGCCACGACAATATTATTGCATAATACTGCATAAGTAGCATTGTGTAATGAACTCGAATCGTTGTGTATTTAACTCAGATCATAGTGTATGTAACTCAATTTTTGCTACAATAGGCTCCGTTGTTAACTATGGGTCTGTAAACAGGGCATTCTTAACCCGGGGACTACCTGTATATCATCACACCCCAACCTCTCTGTGTTTTCTTGAAGCTTTGATCTTCAGCCATGCTCCTTCAAGAGGACAGGAGTTTCAAAAGGCTTTCTGAATCTGGCTAGCATTAACGCTGCATCCTGCCTGCCCTGGAGAGCTGTGTGAATCTCGTTTAACATCAGGCTTTCCCCACTGAGAAGAAAGGGGAAAGAAGCTGAGTAGGAATGTGCTACATTTCCGAAATCCTTTTCTGTTGGGATCTGAAGCAAAAACAATTCATTATTTCTCACATGCAGTTCCCTCTTGTTCTTCTCTTAGCAACTCTGGATCACTGTTAGACCATGCCATTTCGTAAACTGAAGTCAGAACTTTACCATCACTTAAGGTCTCTTTCAAGCACAGAGGTTTCTTTCTGCAGTTTGAAAAATGAGACCTCGGTCCTTATTCTACCATGTCTCCTCTTACCCACCACTCCAAACAAAAGAGGACAGTTGCATTCATGGCTTGCATGCAAGGCCCAGGCAGGTCCCATACATGCACTGTTGCCCCGTGTCCTTTGACTAATCGTAGTGCAGCTTTTTCATCTGATGTGTCCGTGATGGTTGGACTGCGACTCGCATCATAATCTCCAATCAGAACATTTAAGATGTGGTTTAGCACTTCAACTAAAAAATTTATTTGGTTTCAGCTTAGCACATTGTGTGATCCCAGCTAATGTGATGTACTCAGCAAACCATTGGTTAGCATGTGGTGAGAATTAAGCCACAGGGTGTATATAAGGTATTAATTTACTTAATGAATTCTATTTATGCTTATGATAATTAAAGTCTTTTGTAATATGAAATTTATAGCAAGATTTGCTTTATGCATGCACAGTAAGCCAAAATTAAACAGACCTTGTCATGGTTTAGTGTGTATGAGAGCTAGTCCATGAATCACAAACACCCTATAAAACATCTTTTACTACTGCTATTAACAAGATTCATCTGTTTTCTTGTCTTTGTTTTAAATGAAGTTTATAAAATATGACTTATAAACCCACTGGTTATTTTCCTCTACTCTGTATCCAGGTAAGCGTTCCTAAGATTAAAGTCTTTTGCAATATGGAAGTTATAACATCAAGATTTGTTAAAATCCAAGTTACAGGTAGTTCTCGATTAACAATGGCAATTGGGACCAGAATTGCTGTCGTTAAGCAATGCAGTCATAAAGCATGGTGTCACACGACCACACCACTTAATAACAATTTCAGCATTCCCAGAATCATGCTAAGTGCCTGGATCGCAATCACATGACCACAGGGATACTGCAGCATCCAGAATTTCAAGGACTGCTCGTAAATACCCCTTGTTCAGTGCAGTCGCAAGTTTGAACAGTCACTGAACGAGCGGTTGTTAACCAAGGACCACCAAGTAAGTACTTAGCTTACTTACCTCATTTGGCTCTTCTAGACCTCACTCAGAGTGAAATTTACAAATGTTTGATTCAGGAATTTAGATTAAAAATAAATAATTGATATTGGAAGTTAGTTGTGTTTCACTGTTATTATTATGAGTATCTAAATCAATTTGTATTTAAGACTAAGAGTAGGATTTTGAATAACTAAATATCCTGATAACTTTTTAAACAAATATTTTAGGTTGACTCCAACCAGACATTAGAATTTCCTTCCTCTTCCAGTTAAATTAAGAGAATAGGGGATGTGGGTGATTCCTCTTTTACCAATCCCAATTTTATAAAAATCAGTAAATGTTACATGGACATGTATGCACACCTGCAATACCAAGGACACTTTAATAAAAACATTCAGAGCAATGAAAATACTTTTTTTCCACACCAAATAAAAACATTAAAAGTGAATCTTTTAAGAAATAAAATATTTACACTTTATAATTGAGATACAAGTGTACAATCAGAATATTAAAGATGCAAATATTGCACTTAGATTAGAAATCTGAAACGTAAGGCTAACCTCTTCCTCAACTTTGAGCAGAGAAATCAATCTCTGAATCAAAATAGAATCTGCTATCATTTACCGAAAAGCTGTAAACTTTTCCACATTCAATAGTAATAAAGAAGGAATGTACCAAGTCCATGTTCCTAACAGATGAGCCTACCCAAATGTGAGGAACAGTTGCAAATATTGAACTGGATCAACTGGTGCATGCTGAGAGTCTTGAAATGTAAACCATTTTTAAGTTCCAGCACAATGAAATGTGTAGCTGAATACGTTTTTTAAAAGAACACCATACTTTTCTTTTTTTTTTTTTACTATTAACAAATCATGCAATGGATTAATCATAAATGTGAATTATTCTCTTCCTCCAGGCTGTGCTTCAAACCATTCTCCCCACTCCCACAAACAAGATGTTTGGCCTTCTTTCACATATTTCATTAGTTGTATAACCTGGGAGCAGTTTTTGATGTATGATAAACCTTCACACATCTGTTTTGCTACATAAATGTGGTGAAATTGACAATATCATCTTTAACCATGACGGTGCCCAGATATTGTTCCTCATGATTCCAGTATAAAAGACAAGGCTATATAAGAATCACTTCATGATATTGTTTAACTGCTCGTGATGCTGTTTAACTACTAGATGGCCATTTACCTCGATAAAGAACAAGCCAAATATGAAATCAACCAACATATCCAAGAGGAAGCTCTTCACTGATTAAATCTGTCTTTCTTATTTCTCAGACCAATACATATAACACAGTAAGATTTATAGTAAAGGTGAAAAGACTGGGTATAAAATATGTTGCCAGAAAGGCACATTCACTCTTGCTGCTACACAGCTGCTACACATTTGGAGAGGGGGGTCCCCCAAAATGCCCAAAATGAACATATATAACAAGCCGTGGTTTCCCTGGGAGGAAACTCTGGTGAAGGCGCACCTGATTAAGAACTTGAACTCTATTGAGCTTTCTCTGCCCAAATGTCTGAGTATTATTAAAAGCATGCAGCCCCTCCGCACCAGTACAATCTTTGTTAGATAGTGCATTATGCTCTAAATGCTTACAACATAAAAATGCATAGCTAGTTGAAAATACATCCTCAGGTTGCTGAAGAAGGATGGCTATTATAGCGGAATAAATTAATGGAATGAAATGGCACTCAGAATAGTGTTGCTGCTTCGTGGCCCATCGTTGGTGCTGAGGCTTAAAACCTCTGATGGAATTGTTGTTGTTTTTTTAAAATACTAAGTACCATTTAAAAAACCCTTAAAATTGTTAGGCTTTCAGTCCAAGGAATAATGATATCCTTCAATTTCAAGTGGAAGCAATGTTTATGCAAGGATGAAGAATTAAAAATACTCTGCAATTTGGTCCCTCCAATTATTGTCCCCAACACAGTAACCCTGTGGAAAAAAATAATTAAGACTCTCTTCATAATCTTG